GCCAATAGCCCATGGCCCCACCCCCCAGCTGGCCCGGCCCTGATCGGGCCCGATTGGGGCGAGCCGGCCGGCCAACCTTCTGCTGTTTCCTCCTCCTGACAGGCCCGGCCCTGATCCACCCTGATTGGGGCCGGGCTGGTCGGACCCCACACATGCACGAATTTGTGCACTGGGCCTCTAGTAGCTATATAAGATTGTTTCTGGAAAAAAGCTTGTTGTAGGGCCATTTTTTATATAGAAAACTTTCAGTAATGTTATATTAATTTATTATTTTTATAATTTTTTTTCTATTTTTCAATTACAGTTGATATTCAATATCATTTTATATTAGTTCCAAGTGTATAGTGATTTAGTTAGAGTATAAATTCTTTTCTTTTTTTAATTTTGAAATTAGTCATTTTATTTAGTAATAACAGTGGTATTGTAGTAAATGCTACTACAGTAGCTATTAACATTAACTGAGCTATAACTTAGACAAGATACTATGCTAAGCACTACACATACATTATCTCATTTAATCCTCCAAATAGCCTAAGGTTGGAGGTATGATTTACAGATGAGGAAACTGAAGCCAAAAGAGGTTATATAACTTAACCAAAGTTAAAGGACTCAAACCCAGGTTAGTCTGATAGCATAAACTTTAATTAAGCTGATCAAGAAAATAAATTTAAAAATATACAGATATATAAGGTATGCCTTTAGATTTCCACATCACTTAACCTATTATACTAATGATTAATTATTCATTATGTTTTTACCTGTCAAATTCATGCCTAATTTGGGGTGAAGTTTCAAATCTTCCTATTGGTGAGTATCTTCAATAAATCCCTGATTGGTCATGAGATCTTTCTGAATGGCCATGAGATCTCTGAGTGGCCACGAGATCTCTCTTGGTGGCCATGAGATCTTTCTCAGGGGCTACGAGATCTCTCTAATTGGCCTCTAGATCGATCTCTCTGATTGATGATGAGAGCCTCTAGATTTCTCCAAATAGTGTCCATTTTCTTCCGATTCATCTTGAGAACCTTCCAATTGATGCTGGGTTGTTCTGGTTTTTTGTGATTGGCATCCATTCCTCTTTACTTGAGCCTTGGAATTATCACTGCACTTCTCCTGTAATGAACCGTAATTTTACAAAACAAATGAAACATATATCCCATGGTTTCATTTAGTCACAAAGATATTTTGTAAAGACCATATCTATGGGCAACTTCTTTTTTTAGAATTCCACTGACCCCACTTTTATAGACAAAACATTTTTCAGAACTAATTTGCAGAAAATCCTGATGTCTCATGTCATTAGAAGGTAGACTATTATGGAAATAAAACTTTAATGAAATGTTTATATGTGGAAAATTAGTTGCTTTACAAATTTGAATGTATCCCAAGGTCATGTTCTACCTACCATTTGCTGAATCTTTTTTTTTTTTAACCTAAAGAAGCAACAGGTTTTGTGACTTTACAGATAAGGAGAGAAAGAATATTTAATAACATTTTGTAGCACAAACCCTTAGAACAGTGGTTCTCAACCTTCCTAATGCTGCGACCCTTTAATACAGTTCCTCATGTTGTGGTGACCCCCAACCATAAAATTATTTTTGTTGCTACTTCATAACTGTAATTTTGCTACTGTTATGAATCGTAATGTAAATATCTGATATGCAGGGTGTATTTTCATTGTTACAAATTGAACATAATTAAAGCATAGTGATTAATCACAAAACAATATGTAATTATATATGTGTTTTCCGATGGTCTTAGGTGACCCCTGTGAAAGGGTCGTTCGAACCCCAAAGGGGTCGTGACCCACAGGTTGAGAACCGCTGCCTTAAAACAAAAGAAAAGTGTTCAAAATCGTACTTTTACTGTTCACTGTTCAGGATCATTAAAAAGAAGTTATATATCTCTTCAATATAAATTAATATTTAATTCTAGACAGAAAGATAAATAAGTGAGGGGAAAGGTGACTATAAAGAAAGCAAAAGTTTGGCTTAATACTGTTTAAGTAAATTGGCTTGGTAACAACTCAGCCTTTCTACCTTTCCAGTTTTTAAACTAAAATGGCAGTAGGGTGATTCAGCCAAAGGGAAATAATAAAAGCTTTGACAAAGTTCTATGATGCTACATAAATATAAAAGGATAAAGTCATAGGGACCGTGTGGAGAAATCAAGATTTCCACTAGTAAATATTGCCTGGCAAACAAAACATGCCCTAGATCTGGCATTGTCACTTTCTAGTATAACACTACCAGAAGTTGGAAGCAATTGTTAAAAGGCATAATCTTATTCAAATAAAACTGTAATAAAATTTTAAAATATGACAAACTTGTTGCTTGATAAAGCATAAAGCCATAGTCATGTTTCCTACTGTAAAACATAAATAAGGAGATTGGGTGAAATGCACTTGCACCTCCTCTCTTTCAGGTGACTAGTAGGGAGCACAGTGGGTCAGCAGGAAGAATTGAGACTCATCTCCTAAATGCCCATATGCATCCAAGTATCTTTCCAAAGGACTTGTAGTCTTTTTACAAATGTCTAAATAAGAAATATTTTCATTCGATTGGATAATATTGATTTTTAACTTTATAAAACAAAATATGCATTAGTTTTCTTTCCTTATAAATTACAGAAACTCTCTGTAAAAAAGAATTGTGTTGAGTAAATACTACTCTATTCTACTAACATGAGGATTAAATCTTAAAAAGTATAATACTAACTTATTAGAATTTTCAAAGCATGATTGAAAACTGTAATTTTTATTTAATTTATTGGTAAAGTAATTATGCTTAAATTTTAATATATTTCTTTACTGCAGAGTACTTTTGTCTGGAGAGTTCTGCTGTAATGACAGTCTCAAAAGTATGAGAGATAAAAAAGGTGCTTTTAATTTGAAAATACTCTTTTCCAGTATTCTTCTTTCATGTATTCATCTTGACTGTAGCAGATGTAAGCTCATGACCTTCCTTCCCAAACTTTATCAAATACCTCCTCACCCTAGATTAAATGTCATCTCCTCCCTCAAACTTTCTCAAGCCCCCCCAATCAGAATGAATTATTGCATCTCTATAATATATAACTTACATCCTATTAGAACATGTACTGAGACCTGCCTGGCATTAAATTTCTTTTCTTTCTTTCCTACCAGCACGTATATTTGAAGCAGGGTTGTTTTGAACCTTGCATAGTGCCTGCACAGAAGACATTTAATCAATATTTACTAAATCAATTTAAATGAATCCTCTAAATATTTAAAAATGCAACATGTTCCCCTCCAAAAAAAACCCAAAAAAACACCAAAAAACTATTTACATAAGTTGGCCAAAATGGTTTAAACTCCCAAAATCACTATTTTTACTAAATCACCACAGAACATCTTAAGAAGAATCAGGTTATAGGCCAAGCTGAAACATTAGCATCAGTGTTAGTTTATGAATCTGGATATGAGCAACTTTCAAAATCCTGCTTAGTGACTGACTCACCTACACAAGTTTAGATGTGATGGATTTGTACAACTATAGTATGTTCCACATGTTAGCTCCAGAGTATATTTCATATCCTATATCATCTGACTTCTAGTTTTTACAATTCATCCACAGGCTACTAAAACTGCCTTTATACTATAATTTAATATCAAAGGTTCTACATGAGGACAAAAATAATAATGATTATACAAACCAAATCACGAAACCAATAATCTATTCTGGCATTATAAATTCAAAGAAGTGATGATTAAAATAGCAAAAATTAAATGTTTATTAAAAGTTACAAGAAAAAAATCAATTAACAAATATTGAACTTAAATTATGTTCAAGGCACCATGGGGAAATACTAAGAAACAATCCCTGCTCTCAATAGAATTAAAAATAACCTTTAATGTTAAAAAATATATTAAATGTAGGACCTTTTATATTGGTTATTTCTCATTATTTATTTACTTGCTTAGTTAAATACTTCCTGTTTAAAGGACTTTGTCCAGACTTGAATACAGAAGGTTCTGATCTTTGTAGGCAAATTAGCTATAATTTCGCACTGAAGTTGCTAGAGGGCCAGACCATTATAAATAGGGAAGCAGGTTGTTTACCACGACAGTAGAAATGATTTTTTTCTGAAGATATGGGTAAACAA